TCTGAAAGATAATATTGATGCTCTTCACGTACTGACGTATTTCAGATCATACCGATAACATAAAAAGTGTTTATCTACTCAGTATTACAACTGAAATCTTAACAGTTCAGAATTATTTTAGAGTAAAAAGTAAGAAAGTGTGCAGCTTTGCCCTCACCCCCTTTTGTTTTAAAATGCTTTATTTATAGTGATTTTAATGTAACTTTTCAGACATAGTCATATTACGGATGACATATACCATACCTTAAATGTAGAAAGTCCATAAAGTCTTGCAGTGTGAACAGTGACTTGTGAAATATTTGTAATGTTAGATATAAAATCCTCAAGGTATTTACAGGCTTGTTCCAGGTGTGTTGTGTTTATGATGATTTGAACAAGCTACAAGAGACAAAAAATTCTCATAGAAATCCTTTTTGTATTGCCCATTGTCATTTGATTTTGTAAATGATTACTTGTTTCAGCAACGATGCTACTAGCAATTAATTACAGCATTTCAGGTTACAACCTGTCAGTTTTCAAGTTTGTTTTCAAATGCCACTCAGGAGTAATACTACAGTTTACATGCTAATGATGCCATTTTAGAAATTAACACTGCAGATGCCTACTCAGTGAAATAAATCCAATTTGTATTCCAGAATTAAAAAAGAGAAAACAAAGGATAATATATTGCCAAAAGCAATTCACTAATTTGTACCATAAAAATACTTTTTTAAGAATTACAGCTATAAAAAATAATATTTCCCAATATTGTCTGCAGAATGATGTGTTCTCAGGTTATGGAATTTCAAAAATAAGGTTGTCAATTCCTTCCCTCACCAACAATGGTAACAATCTGCTTGTACATGACATAAATGTATTTATAAGCAGGACCTGCATTCATATCCAGTTCACAAATTCAGACAACGTACATAATGCACAGTAACTGAACCGTCAGCATATTTTAACTTAATTTTCACTGCATACTGTCTGTTTTAGTGAACACTAATGTAATGCTGGGTAAAATAAGTTTTCTCTAGAACATTTTTCTCATAAAACATATTGACTCAATAAAGCAACACTTCAAAAAATACTAGTGAATTTATTTTCATATCCTTGAAAATATTCCAGTACCCATCTCAATAACATAGAAAATTACGCCTCACAAATTGTATTGCTTGTCTTACTAACATGGCAATATATGATTTATAGAGCTCTTTTCTCATCGTCTTCTTGATTTCATCTACACAAGAGGTTCTTGCAGTTTAAAATCAACTTTCAATATGACCTAACACTGCTCTAATGGCAACCACTAAAGTCCTTCTCAGTATGCTTCAGGAGGTACCTGCTCTCTCCTGACATTGCATGTACCCGCAGTAAATGTTCAGAATGACTCCCTGTCTCTGTCTTATTCTGTCCAATAAACACATTAAACCAAGAGTCCTGATGAAGAAACAGCATGCACAAAGCTACTAAAATACTTTAATTGCAATTACTACAGAAAAAGTTTCATGTGTCAGAGTAAACTTGAAATTTTAGATTTCTTGATCTGGTAGGTATACTCTGAAACTTCAGACAGTTTACGCAACAGAGATTTTCTCTCCTCCCCCCCTGGCATGGCTGAAGGCTGTAAGTGCCCCCCCCCCCCCCCCCCCCCCCGCTTTTTTATGGTAAGAACAAGAAACTCAACAATGTGCTAGCAATTGCCAGACAGGAGCAGAACACATGAACCATGCTCTGTATGCAACCAAAGTAGTAAGAGCCTTTGGCTTATTTCTTGCAAATCTCTGTTTATCATCCAGGAGACAGAAGTCTTTCATTGTCATCTCCCTCTCAGAAGGCATCCCTTTGTAAATATACTTCCAACTAGACCAAACACCATATTGTTATTATTTATGTAGCAGATATTGATGCTTTTTTATACTTCATCTTCCACCTCTTTAAATTTTTAATTTTAAATCAAGCACTACTTGCTCTTCTTACACAAATCTCAATACCACAGTACATCTCAATTTACAAGAATAGTTATAGCATTAATTGTCTTAAAAAACACAGTATTCAAAAAAACTTACCTCTGTTAACCCTATATGAGGTTTTTTAATTAGGTTCTGTAAACAACTACTTAAAGTTCTTGTAAGCAACAAATTTGTAGATTTTCTGAGCATATCATCTATTTCTGTTGAGCTGAAAAAAAATGTTTATTTTTATAACTATACTGTAAATTACAATACTTCGACAGTAATACTTAATACTTTTCTTTTTTTCCCTGCATAAGGAACTTTTCATGTTAAGAATTTCTTTTGTGCATTTCATTTCTGGTTGCTCCAAGTCTTCTGTGATCTAACACACAGAACACCTCTTTCATTGACCAAATTATCCATTAACTGAATTGCAACACTGAAGTAAAATCTGTTATTTTTAGATCTTGGACATGTTTATTGACACAGCAGTTCGGAAAGAGTAATTTGTGGGTTTTAATGAGTTACTAAGGAGGTCAGCATGCACTCATTAGTATGTGTAAATTGTAAACAGTATCAATTAAGAATGTGTGAAAGCAAGTCATTTACATCTTTAACAGTGCAGAAGTGGGTGACCAGCCACGAATACCTTCCAGATTTCAGATCTATGAATGTTATTTTATGTAATTAAAACTAAGCTTTAGAAGGCCACAAAAGGAAAGGAAATGGGAGAATTGTGATTTTTTTCCAACACAAAAAGGTGGGATCAAAGAGAGAATGAGCAGGCAGCAGCATGCTTTATTGCAAGAGAAATCATTGCTAAGGAAACTCAAAGCACTGAGAAGGGAAAAACTCTTCGAGGTAATCAGGGATGCTACACAATTATTGCTGAAGTGGTCAGTATCAGAATATATTTTCAAATCTTACATGCTTTGTTAAATAAATAAAATCTCTAGATTATTCAAATGAGTCAAATACTGTTTAAAACACCCAGCAGTGTTTTAGACTGTTCATCATGCCAAGCTACCTTCACCCACACAGACACACACATATTGTATACAATATATATCCACATATAGGAAATATATGCTATAGCATTGGGAATCACAGCTTAAATATATCAAATTATAAATTTAAATTATATGTAAATTTTGAAACAAAGTTAGCAAGTACACAAGAAAATATATTTTCAATTTAATATATAGTTTTAGGTCACCTGGAATTTATAGGTTACCTTAAAGTCACATTGCTGATGTTTTAAGCTTACCTGCGGTGAAGTGACTCTGAAAACTTAAGGCTTGCATAAATAAATTCCTTAACTTGGATATAAATCTGAGGCACTGACTGAGACATTGGAAGCTTCTTTGGAAAGGATTGCTGTGAAAATAAAAGATAATGCTATCTTACACTTGAAATTGACTCTAAGGAGAAGCTGGTATTAAATGCAACAAATAGAAAGCCACTTAACACTATCAATATTTTAATCTACCTTTAGCTTTTCTGTTTTTCATCAAATGCAAACAGTGGTATGTGCTGGACTGACTTCTACATCTGTTTAAACAGCTTATAAGCAAAATAGAACTTTATCACTTCTCTAAATTACAATAAAGTTTGGAGATGTTCTGTAATTTAAGAACCCTCTGCAGAAAGCAATTTACAAACACACGTAAAAACCAGGTCTCAAACCCCTTTTAGTCTGAATGAACAAGACAGACATAAGCTCCAAAAATGCAAACTTTTTTTTTTTTTTTGCCAGAGAAAGCAGGGGGGAAAAAAAAAGGGGGGGGTTTAGAAGTTGAGCACATCTGGGATTTTCAAAGCATCTTAGCATCTTGAGAATGTTTTGGCATGTATATTTACTATCATATATTTACTTTCTCGCGATAGTTCACAAAACCAAAGCAGTCTGAATTATTTTTGACAATTTGGATTAACGTAGGAAATACTAGCAATCTGTAAGAATAAAATCTTGCTTCTTACTTTAGTTTTAAAGCTGATATTGTATTTGGAAGGACAAAAAGAAATAAATTCATTTAAATCTACACATGCCAAATAGATATTTCTGCATTGAATACATAATTTTTAAAATCCACAAAACAATTAATTTTCTGTTTACTCTATGACAAATGAATGAGAAAAATAATTAACAACTGATATCATCCCCACAGAATTCCATTTCTCAAAAAAAAAAAAAGCATTAATCAACAGCTCAACATTTGTGTTTTAAAAAATGAAGACAAAACAGATCACCTTGAGATTGTCCTAACCATACCTCTTATTTAAGATAAGGTGGTGTGACTAGTACATGGTGTAAGTGTCAGGCTTTCTTGTCACTCAACAGTGATAGCAAACATTTATTTAACGATAAAATTTACTTTGAATATGGGCTCATCTGATTTCAGCAATTAATTTTTACAGATAAAACAAGTGCTATTACATACAACTATTTCAGATCATCACAATATTCTGTCAGCAGGATTTGAGTCTCAGCCTTCACATATTCAACTATCTAAGAGAAGTAGTTCTTTATCCTCTACTGTGTCTGGCCAATACAGCAGGACACAACACTTTCTGTCTGATTATTAGAGTAAGCAGCAAGAAAAAAAACAACGCTAACCAGACACACAAGCCAATTGTTTCACTTCTGAATACAGAAAGAGAGTAAAACTAGATGATATAATCAAAACATGATAGTTTGGCACATTCAATCTAAATAGCAGACTGGGGACAAGACTCTCTTCTGTCCAGTCAGACTGGATCTGCTATGTTAAATATCTAGTAGGTTCAGGTCATAATTCTGCCTTGTGTGCCGAAAGCAACTCTTCTGATAAACTTGCCTGTAAAATGTGAGGGTGATTCATCCTAACCTACAGCTAAAAATGAGACACTCGCATTCATCTCTTTTTATACTAAATGGAGAGAAACACACATTTTCAAAGGTGAAATTTCCCTTAATCTGTAAAAGGCATCAGTGTTACATCAAATGGAATTAGCCCCCTGGGGTGTCTATTCCTGTCTATCAACTACACAGGCTCCTTCAGGGACTAGCCTGAACTTACACACCTATTTTTAGGTTTTAGGGTTTTTTTCTTTAAACATTGAAATGTTGATTAAATTAACCCACCCAACGGGACCTCCCAGTGCCTTATAGCCTGAGGCAACAACAGAGAGGTGAAGTGGATGGGATTATGAACAGCAACCAACAGAAGTGATGTTGGAGCATTTATAAAGTTTCCCCTCCATGAGGATTCCCTGCTATTTAGTAACCCATAAGGTAACACTGTACTCTTTCTTTCTACAAGGATACTTAATGATTCTTTCCCCTCTATCCCACTGCCTAGTTGACAAAACTTTCAGGAACGTTACCTTCGAGACTTACGTCCCTTTGCTAAATTTGCTTGAAGTCAACTAAACGGCTTCAAAAATTGCTAGGACATGATAAAAACCTCAGACTGCCTTATTTTGAATGCTGCCCTTCTGCTTTACATACAGGCTCTTTTCAGAGCTATATAAAAAATGTTATTCCTGCTTTACAGATGAATGAACATGGACAGAGAGATGTGAAGTGAGTTACCAGCACCATGCAGCTGGACAATGATAGAGTTGGGAACAGAATCCAGCCTGATTCCCAGCTTTACTTTCAAGCTCACCAGCCCAAAAACTAAGCATCAGTGAGATTCTGCCCATAAAAATACATAGAAAAAGTGCTGCTCACTATGAAATAGAAATCCCTCTCTGCGTCATAAACCAAAATGAAAATTGTTGGGTACAGAGAATCCATTTTCCTGCTGCTGAACTAAGAGCCACAGCTTTGTGTTAATCATATATACATGTAACTGCACATGCCTACACAAGTAACCTCCACACACGCGTGCTGATACATCAGACAGAGTGGGAGGGGCTATCAGATAAAATTATTTAGTGCAAGTTAAAAAATCTCTGCAATTTCTTAGCAAAATATGTCATGATAAATAGTGTCTGGGGTGTGGTATACTTCCAACACTGTAAGGGATTTCCATTCTGTTTATCTTATTTTAGTATTATAATCGCTAAGTAAATGAATTTGATGGAGCATAGCATCCGGCAAGCACTCTGGAGTCTTATTCAAAAGTCAGCCTAAAACCCACCTTTAGTTTTTCATCTTCACTGCAATACTGTATTAACGACATGCAGTTGTTACATTTGCCTGGTAAATCCCTGCTGAATCATAGAATTAAGAGTATCTTTTTACTTCTCCAGATATCTGTAGTGATAAACCAGCTTCCCTCTACAACAGTTACTCCCACTGTCATGTGGTTCTTTGATTTAGTTCCCCTCTGCAGACTCCATCATGGGCCTGTTGTTTCTTCATTGGTATTACCAAGACCATATTTGACCAGCAGAATACACTAACCACCTTTCTGCCACACTAGTCTGTAGTGAAAGAATGGCTGAGGCTATGAAAGATTATCCTATTGGAGTGCTAGTACGGCAGAATTATTTACAGTCCCTTCATGTTTATATTGCTGTACATGGTCAAACACAAATAATTAATTTTAAAAGCAAAATGCAAAAGTTGTTGTCTCTAACATATCCCTGTTTTACACATATATTTCCAATACTACAGCATACAATATACTGTGAATTATTAAACCAAATGAGTTGCAACAAAATTTAACTAAAGACAGACTGTATTATAATTACATAAAGACTGTATCAATTAAAGTGTATTATTAATTTGTTTACAGAACAATGGGTTTCATTATTCAGTCAAACATGAGAGCACATGACTAAAGCTTTAATTTCCATATTTATTTATGACTGGATAATTACACACAAAGAAGGCGATTTAGCCTCTTAATCTACCTAGCTTTTCAAATTTTAATTACTTTTAAATTATAAAAATCATGACTATGCCAAGTGTCCTTAACTGGATCTTGACAAACTTCAATAAATAATTTTTTTCCTTACCTTATCAAGTTCTGGATCTTGAAAAGGAAATTTGCTTATAACTATTTTGTATTCATCCTCATTTGCTACTGGAATAGGGCTGTAGTTGTCCACTTCAAAAATATCCCTGGTGAATTAGTAAAGTGGAAAAAATGTAGGACATGTAATTTCTTTACAGCATTGTCCAGTGTTAAAACATGTAAATGAATATAAATTTTACTACCACACTTAGGCATGCAGCTTCAAAAAGTTATAAGCTGCAATCGTTATAATTTCAGACACCCAAACTATTTTAGACGAATTTGAAAGTACCTTGTATATGCTAACTCTTTACACTGCATCTAATCACAAAGAAAAAAATAGCTGAAAGCATTTTAATATGTGTGACTCAAAACATAATAAACCATAATAAAGCAAAAGAGCTTTAGATCAACTACTGTGCTCCACGGCAAATCATAATGAGATACTTGTTAATTATGGTAGCTTACACTTTGCCTACACTAAAGCAGATATTCAGACTGTCTCACTTAGGTACCACAGCTACATATAGTCAATGGAGATGATTCAGAGAACTTCAACTCAGCATGTGGCCACAGCTTTATTGAAGTACCCTCTGGACTTCCTTACTAGTCCATTGACTATACCAGGAGTCTAGAGAGCATAAGAACCATAGACACTAGACTTAGCTGGTGAATTTAATTTTAAGGTTTTCCATAAAACAATGTAACTTTTTTTCTTTTATGGTAAACAACATCAGCACATTTAGATACCACAGTCTATCTGCACACAGGCTTTGGAGTACAGTCCCAAGCTGACCTGTTTTTGGGTTTACAATTTACTCAATCAAATGATTCCAAGGAAGGTGGAAACCAACCTGCATTAAAAAACCAGGAAGATGTACTGGCAATGTCAGTAGTCTGTCAGGGAGATACACATATCAGCTAACTGTAAACATTAAGACAACCTAAATTAGGAATCTAATGCCCTATTGCAATAGCCTAGAGTGATTAGGTTCCTAATGAAGAAAAACAGTGTTTCTCTCCTAGATATTTCTCCAATCATCTCCCTTTGGCGGAATTCCTTCTCCCTATTAACTACAAAAGCAGTCCTCAATGGCTCTTCTCCTGAATATTAGTTACATGTGATGAATGCTTTAGTCCTACCCAATCTGAAATTCATATATAATACTGAGTTAATAAATTCTTCCAGAATTACAGCTCGATCAAAAAAAGTTTTAAGTAAGAAAAAACCCAATAGATACAATACAAATACAATTATTTTTAAATACTAACCTGAACAATCCAGACCACTTTTTAAGAAGTGTTTCATTGTATTGGTCTCTGATCTCAAACAAAAGATCAAACAGTCGATTCACAGGAAAACCATAACCCTAAGGTATAAAAATCAAGAGTGGATAATTCAAGAACACACTCAATTCCTACCACAACACTTTAGGACTCTGAGACAAGACTTGTTATTCAATCTTGTCACTTCTATAAAACAAATTATAGTACTTTAAACACACCAATACAATTAGAAGATCACATATCTTCTTCTCAACTACTTAATGCTATGCTTTCTTTCGGTTTTCAAGCAGAAATTTGTCTTATTTCTTTATAACATTTTAAGATGTTATTTGCACATACATCTAATCTTTTTTATCAGTCTGTTAAACATTGCAAGAATACTTGCCAATGATGCTCATTTGGTCTTCCAGCTAGAGGGCTAATGATAACTGGAATGTTATTCTTGCTTAAGACTCGAAGTAAAACATTTACAAAAGAGAAAAACGTACACAAATTACAAAGCTAACATTAATTTTGCATAGATACAGGTAACTGGATGCTAGCCGGATAGCCCAGAACACGTACATTAAGTTGGTAATACTGAAAAAGAGGAATCAAGGCAAGAAATACATATATTTTAAAAATATTATTGTGTAATTTTGTTCTTGATTCACATACATGACATCAGGGACATCCAAAGCATTGCACTTACCCACCTAAAGGAAAAAATTGATTCTAGGAGTTCCATTTAAATTACTAATATAATTACATACCTGCAAAGTATCAGCAAACACTACAATGAGATTCTTCAGTTCCAGAACAAGGTCGGGATCACTGCAATACGACTGAAAGTGAGAAGTTCTGGTTTTGTTTAAAAGACTTAATATATGGGACATGTGTTTCTAAAGAATATTAGCACAGAAGGTTAAACTCTCCAGCCTTATCCCTTTACCTAACTGACTGCCTTAGTAAAAAACAACTTAGACTCACTTGCCTTCATTTAATCCAGCTACATGAAAATATTTTTTTAAATTTTTACATGAACTATCCGTAGTATAAAAGCTTAGAAAAAGTAAACTAAAATACGAGATTCAGTAGATATCAGTATGTTGTACTGAGAGTCAAAATCAGCAAATTACATTTATTTCAGTGGAACATAAGCACACATCAAAATGCTTTCCTAAATCAACACTAGAGAGGCTTCCATAGTACGTGCTTTTGAACGCTAAGCCTGGGTCTAACTAGTGCTAACTGTGCCACCTCCAACAGTTTCCCAGCGGTATGGGGAAAACACTACCAAAAAAAAAAAAAAAAAGTAAAAAGACCACACTTTAAGCTCTTAAATCCCCAAAATCACGACTTTAAGCTATTCAATCTACTAAATGACTGAAATTTGATTATCAGAGGTGTGGAGTCCTATAACTAAGGCTTTCACCTCAGTTTCACTATTTGCAGTACTGGATAAACTAACAAATATTTATATTAAAATAATTTAAAGCACTATGAAAAGATAGTATTGGTTAGAGACTATATACGCCTGTTTCACCTTTAATTTTTGTTTTAGCACACTTCATTAAAAGTAAGGGTTTGGTTTACAGTACCTCATAAGACAACACACACTTGCCTAAACATTATTCTGTACTAGGATAATGTTAGCAAGAGATTGTGATAGACTTGGTTTTGATGGGAGTTATGCATTTTGAGAAGAAACAGTGATAAACTACATGACAAGACATTGAAGAGTTCTTTGGAGATTCCATCACTTTTATTCCTTACTGCATTCTTACATAGGTGTATAAATCGATACATAGCCAATTAACTTGCAAAGTATTCAGCTTAATAAAATGCTGAATATCTCTCAATTTATCCCAATCGTCTAAAACAAATTAAAAAGTATGAGAACATCTCATGTACTACCGATCAGTAAAGGTCCTATGATAAAACTATAGTTGCAATCTGAACTTTTCCCCCCACTTTTCCTCAGTATATATGAAGTGTAAAATATTCCTTGAAGATCAATTGTAATAAAAGTAAAAATAACATTGCATAACGGAACTGCTTCTAGCAAACATTAAAAAGAGAAAGATAAAATTCTTCTATTTTTTCCAATAGTAAAAGTTATACCACTAGTAAACTCTGAAGCAATTTACTGTCAGTCAGTCTGAGTAAACAATGGTATTCCATTGATTTTCACAGAGGAATAAAAAATAGCATGCAGCTACTCAGCATCATTGGAGGTAAGGTAGAAATATAACTTTAGGAGACATACTTCAAATATACAGAAATGCTCAGCTGATAGAGAATTACATTCTAACATCTGTGAAGATTTTTCTAATGCCTTTACTTCAACATAAGCATATTACTACTATAGCATTGAACAGACAGCTCCAAAGGTTTTGCTGGTGAAGTTTATTTTGGAAACACAGCATTTGGAATGATAATTAGGAACTATTTCCTGGTGGTGCCTTCAGTGCTGAACTATTCAATCTGATCTAACGAAGAGGTCAGTTGAGACTAATGAGGAAGGATTGCAATAATAACAGCAGATTAACTCTGCATATTCTAAACTGTTGGACTAAGAGAAGGTTTGGAAGACCCAGTGAGTTGTAAATCAGTGGAGGATTATGCAAATAGCCCATGGCTGGGGATCACAGCCTGATACTGTCAGGGAAAAACAAAAGCTTGGCAGGCTCCTTCCCAAATTTGAGCAATTTTTAATCACAAGGAAAAGAAAACATGAGAGGGGTGTAATTTTTCACTTTGTTACTATCCAAGATTTAAATATACAGAGCTCTGAAGTAATAGGATTTAAACTGCAATATTGATAAGACTTCTCACTTACTGAATGTGTTCTAAGAACAGCAACAATCTTGGAAAGGGCCATGTTCCAGAGTTCATCAGTGTATGTTCTAGTTACCAATCCTTGGGTTACATGTAAAATGTGGTCTTCTACTACAAAGAAACTAAAACAAAATGATGTTTAAATTACTAATTTGTTTTCTAATATCAGAGCAAATTCTACTCTTTCACACACAAGCACAGCCAAACCCTTCCCCACTCGAGCAGTGACACTTTGGTAGGTTTGGTATTCTCCTTTGCTCAGCATGAAGCCAAAATGTGAAAAGTTTGTTTCACGCCAGCTGGAGCCCAGGCTGCTGGAGAGCCCTTGTGGGGCACTGTACTGGTAGGATCTGGATGCTCTTCCCCGCTCAGATCCAGCAATAACCACCCACATGATTTGTGTGGAAACCGGATGTTGCAGAAGAAAGTTTTTGGACAGTGGAAGCACAGAGGGTGAAATAAGAATCAATATAGTAAAACTGAAATAAATCTCCATTTAGAAAACTTACCCTACAATTTGACTGAAGTATCTTCTATAGCCTTCTACTGTTTCATGCTTTTAGTGAAAAAGAAAACAAGTTTAGGAATAAAAATATCACCATGTATTAAGTACAACCCAAGACAATACAAAAAACAAAATACTGGTTACCATGCTTGACTGCGGCTGCAGAACTAATCTTGCTTGTTTCCTTCTTTGTTTTCTGTAGTAATTTTCAAACACTTCTCCATCACCCTAGCACAAGACAAAAGTAGTTAAAGAACATTATCTCAGTATGAAAATAACACTTCTTAAATTAAGGGTACAATTCTCTTAAACTAAGCCACGTATTTTACACTTGTTCCACATATAGCCTTCCAGCTGACAACAGCAAAGTTTTGCATGCATGAGATGCAGAATTTTTTTTTTTTTTTTTTTTTTTTACAGAATGCACTACAAATAAAAATTTGGCTTATGTGCCTACATTCTGTCAAACAATATTATGTATTTTAAGCACTATTTGTATTTTTAAACTACAGCTTTCAGAGTATAATAATATTTATAGACAAGGCATATTACCTATTACTTTATAACTGCAACTCAGTCTCCTAAAATGTTTCTCTAGGTTATTCAAGAAACTAACTGCATTGTAAAGTTAAGCTACAGAGATGTTTATGTGAATATATGATATGTCAGAACACTGCGTGTATTAGCTTCTCCTGAGGAAAAAACAAAACCACACGAGATTTATTTAATATTTTATTATTCTCTTTGGAATTGGTACATATAATTACTGTGGATTTGGATTTTTCGCCTGTCACAGTCCTCAAAAATACAATACCCTCTGTGCCTAATGATTATATTGTGAGGAATTCAAGTGACATCCTACCCATCTCATTAAGACAACCATTCAGTAGAAACCATCTGTCCATTTGAAATCAGTGCTACATTGACTCATCTACCTACTGAATGCAATGTTATTTATATGCAAGCAGAATAAAGCAGCTTAGCATTTTTAAGGTTTATTTTCACTTCACAAGCCTATTATTAGGCCCGTGGCATTTAGAAATTCCACTACCTGGGCTTCCAAAAATCTTCAAATAAAATTATTACAGAGATTGTATATTACTAAGTCAGCATTACTTACCTAACTCCTTTATAAGATACAATGAAGAAAGTTTAAATATCATATTTTAAGTTCCTAATAAATATTTCACTATATCTAGAAACACTGCTAACCTCACAAAATCTAAAAGTAAAAAAGAGACTTGGCTTAAGAACAAAAACACACTTGAAACTGAGATGCAAATTTGCTAGAACACTTTCTGCTGCAGCAGAGCTTTACAGCTTGCTATAATTTGTACTAACACATACTGATCAGACATACCAACCATTCACCTCCAGCCCAGACATTCAATGCAGTTTTCAGACGCACAAAGCCATTATTGAATTCTACTTCCAAAGCCAAATCTCTACTCAGCCCTGATACCAGCTGCTCAAGTGAAAAAGAGTAGCTATTCTTCTCAAATCCACACCAAAAATGGAGATGTAAAATATCTCATGATTATTTATAGACCACGCTATCCCATGCAATCAAGATCAGCAATTCAGGCATAACAACTATTTTAAACATATGTTCTAAAGCAATCGGCAGAATATAGCAACAACTCTGCTGATTCACTCACCGAATAAGCAATGGAAAGGCAAGATAATACATACTGAAGCAATGCATTTGTTTTGCCCAGCTTCCAATAGTTCATGAGTTTATATCAATAGAAATAATAAATCAATTGACATTGGATTATAAATTCATGGGATATTCCTCATATATCAAATGTTGCTTCACACCATAGTTATATTTATTTTATACTGCTATACAGCGTTTAGTTAAAAGGTAACACTACTTGCCAAAGGGATCAAAGGTGTTTTCAGTAGAGTTCAAACATACAGCATCTCCCACAATACATGGGCTAACAAAAGCTCTTTATATATATTCCCCAGAAGTTTCTAGTCTAAAGAAAGGTTACTCGTCAACAAATACAGTCTACGTTTGGTACATATGTACCTTGTAATCACCAGATTGCAATCACAAGCTATGTAGTATTCTGAGGTACACAGAATCCTGCTTGCTTCTTCAAAGTGAAGAAGCAGAGTAGAAAACTTCTGTGCTGTGTAAAACCAGAGTATTTTCTACAGTTTTGCAGCAGAGAGAGAATTCACTAAGAAGGTGTCATTTTCTGTAAGTCCTTGACATAGAAGTGTAATAAATAGACACCTGGTATCAACTCCCCTCCTTTGCTGTCATGAAGCCCTCTCAACTCCACAAGCGGTAGTTTACAACAGGAGGTCAATGAGAAGGACTCCAAGAAGTGGTTAATGCAAAACTCTTGATAACGCTACCACGGCTTATTAATTAGATGATGTTAGCAGGAAAGACAGAAGCCCTATTCCGAAGGCATCAACAACCCTTTTTTCTAAGTGGCTAAGGGCCTCTGATATCAAGAGAGCACTCAAAGTTGTTTTCTGTCTCCAGTAAATTTGGAAGCCCACACACTTTCTGTGCAAACCCAAAAAGCATATTCCTGGACCAAGGATCCAGCATCAGGATCCCTGTCAAACTGAAAAACATAATCACATATTCCTTTTAAGTATCATCTATCAATTTTACTTCCTGTTCTTTTATTACACTAAAGAAAGAATAAGCAGATGTTGTCAACTGGTGTATTTCATTTTACACATTCTTTTCTTATATGCTGTTTCACACTTATTTCCTCTGTACAAAGAAATGGTCCACTCTTTTTTTAATAGTTCTGGCAGCCTGTCTTTCTGTCCCTCCTGTTCTTTAATTTAGATGAATAATTACTGACATAATTACTGATGCTTTTGTTCAGATTCCTTCTTTAAAAAAAAAAAAAAGTAACAGTGAAATAACACCTAAAACACTATTTCAAGATACAAGCTTTCATGTTACACAGCTGCATGGATTCCACAGCAAGAGGATAACATAGCCTGAATGCTTGAAACCAGGTCCAGCTGAGACTGTAGGATTAGCAACACTTATAAGTATGTCATCTATACACCTCTGATACTTATTCTATAAGTAACCTGACTTCAAAAGTAACTGAAACATAGGAAAGGTGAGAAAATAATAAATACACTGTTACCAGGTTTCCCCAAAAAGCTCTCATCCTTGTTAGCTTATGTATTGTATCTTGTTACAGCAGCTAAAATGGGCTATTGCGTCTGTGCCACTGAATCCAATCTAATCTGCCTGAGCACAGCCTGTCACAATCTCCAGTATTTGCTTGTCTTTTTGCTCTACTATTCTGATTTCCACAAGATTCAGACTGAATATTCCCACGTTTTCTAATATTGATCATATCCCCCTAAACATTTTAGTAACATGGAACATTTGGGGGAGTGAAAGTACCAGTACCGCTATCGAGGCAGACATGCATATTTCACATATATTCTTAAGAACACTTATGTCATTAATGTTTTGCTGTGTGTCCTTTATTATACATATAAAATAAAACACGCAGTCAGGCCCTGAGTATCCATAGCCTACCCATCTCAGCCAGCTCATCCAGAACTACTGCTACTAGAAGCAATATGCTTGCTTGCTTGGGTACTATTACAGTATGAAAAATACGAAAATGAGCATTCAAGTTCAAAAACTAAAATATCTTTCTGACATCACACTGATACATACCAAAACTGAGTAGATGTGCAAACACCTATAGACTGGAGAAAAATCTACAAGGTCTTGGGCAGTTAAAACCTGAAGAAGGAAAGGAAAAATAAAAGTATATAAAGCATAAAACCCATGTAATCTGCAAAATGTGATACATTACCAACAGAACTTGTCCACCTAACAAGGACCCAAAAATGGATGCATTCTATCACAAAAAAAAGCAAATTAATTGCCTGACTCTCCCTTCTCTTTGTACTACAGTACTAGATTTTATTTGTGTTACAAGACCAGACTCCTTTCACTGTGTTTTCAGAGCACCAGATTTAAAGGTCTAAATACTTGCTGTTTTATTCAATTTATGAATACTAAGTATTCAATAGCTGAAAGAGTTCTAACACAAGCTGAATTCCTCAACACAGAAATGCTGTCTTCAAAAACAGCAGAATATTCCAGTAGGCCACATATAATTTACAGTGGGCAGGTAATGTTTGATGTAATTGCAACTGAATTTCAGAATAAGTACAAGTTCTATCCAACTGCATGTCCCCAAACATTATGTTAAAACTAGCATTAATGCAATTAATATTTTGGGACTGTTTTTCCCCCCTAAAATGCTGATCTGGACTGGTATCCCTTGAAGGTGATCTCTGGTTCTTCCTAACTAACACTGACCATCTCAGACAGTGTACTGCAAGTTTTGCTCAATAAACCTTCAAAATTAACTTTAAATAAGATGTACTGATTTACTATAAAGTTACCTCTTCTTCATGTTCATCATCATCTTCAAAAGTTCGCTTCAATGTAATTTCATTCTTCGATTCCAAAATTCTGCTTCTACCTAAATGCATATTCCGACCATAGTTTACATTATTCTGCTTCTGAAGAGTGGTACTAAAGGTTTTCTGCTGCTGTGCCTGTTTTAAAAGTAGTACCAATAAAGAGGGATGTAATGCAAATTTCATTACTGAGGAGTATATGCTATGACATGAAAAACAGGTGGTGCTATTGAACACACACCAGTGTAACTGCAAGATGTGTGTTCTCAGCCTACACCAATTATTTTGTCCTTTATTGATTTGGGATGATAAATGAGTTCAATAGCTAGTTTCTGCATAAATTTTTCCTAATCCCCAGAATGCAATTTAAAAGGTAGACAAAATTAAATAATCTGTAATTTTCCTGATCATAAATTGCAGACAGAGAATTAATATTTAAATGAAGTACAGTTATCACAGAGTTTCCAGCTATTTGTTTTCTATCTTCAGTCAAGCCTTAGTGAGCAGCCAGCTGCAGAAGCCAAATGCTCTATATTGTCCTTACTACCAAAAGAAATGTAACAAGGTAGTACAGTACTATCTTACAATTAAGTTTCATTTATAATCATCAATGCTTCATTTCACAAAAACCTTAGGTGACAAAATGGCAACCCAACCTGAACTCTGCCCCACAAAAAGTGAAATCAAAATTTTACTTGCTCTCCAAATTAATTTTAAAAGCATTAGCTGCTTTAAAGCTTGCTCAGTGCCAGTGCTTTTAAGTAGCAGATTATTTTGTGATGGAACAGACAAGGGCTCCAGCTGTCCCAGTCTCCTCCTGCATTTCACACCTCAGTCCTCTGTATTAGTAGTACTTTCAGAAGAACTGGGAAGTTATCTCAAACACTTCTTTTAATCTTCTTCGTCCTTGCCAGCTGGTCAGATGGCGGCTTTTCGTTTTGGTGGAGTAGCTGCTGAGTTACAGACTGTCTAGGAGCTGACTGCTCAAAGTATTTCACATTTTTTTGCAACTTGAGATATACAGTATTTCTCCTTCCTTTCTTAGGGAGGAAATTACTTCTTGTCTAAGACACAGATACAACTTTGGAAAGAAAGTTTGATGCTACTGAGGTGTCACGCTGCTGCTTCCTGTGTTAGCCAGGGACTGCTAGAATTGACCACTGCATGTCCAGGAGAAGCAGCTGCCCAAGATGTCAGCAAGCATTTCACAGCTCTCCATCTTTACTCAAAGGTCTATGTGATGACCACAACCCTTAGACAAACCTTTTGGGCTAACCTGAGACTATCAACACTGATATTTTCAGTAAATAACAGGACTGAAGTCATCCTGTTAGGTCGGCTTACCTGCTTCATGGCAGTCTCACCAATTCTGTCAGAATGCTTTCGAATACTCTCCAAGAAATCCTTGAGATCTGACATGGATATTTCTTTTATTTCTTCACGCAGTTTTGGAAGATTTTCTATCATTATCTGGCAAAAACGGTATTGGCTAACTCGAGGAAGATACAGATTTTCCAGCTGCTCCATTGTTTTTAAAGCAGAATAATATCTACAAAGAGATTAAAACCAAATTATGTAGCTTCTTATAAAGCTTTAATAAAATACTTTGTTTATCAAATATAGGATATCAGTATCTTGCATGCAATCAATGTACATCTAATGAAATTACTCTGTTTTTAGAAAAATTTAGAAACAAAAGGTCATCCATATAATGCTTTAGATTGGAAAAAAACCACTGAACTGTCAGAGTGACTCAGTCAAGCAAAAATTTTAAGCAGGTTCCTATGGTATTAGCTGTTCTGATCAACAGAATCCTAATGCCACATGGAGTATTGTGCAGAATGGAGGCACCAGAGTCATAACAATTCTCTTCTCTTCTAGACTGAATTTACTAGGGTTTTTTATGAGTTCTTTTCTCTAAAACACAAATTGCCAATCACCCAACACTGCAGTATATGCACCACACAATGAAAAAAATCTTAGAAAAGTGTGCCTGTATGTATATATCTTTTTTAGGTATACGCGAACATACACACACACCCACACCAAGCCTCTTTCCACCATCCTTAGCTGGAAAAGACATGCATACGCTTACCTCAAGCAGTATTTTTTCCAGCAGTATATCATATTTTGCTGTAAACCATGAATCTATTTACTCTTCCGACAAAACACAGCATACCCCGTCAAGAAAATTACTACTCTGAACAAGCACTAAGGTCAGAGGGTTTTAAAAAAAAAACAAAATGACAAAGACTCCATAACTTTCTCCATTCTTCTGTGTTCTGTTAGCCTACAGACTATTTGTAGCAGAAATATGGAAGATATAGCCTGAGAGGGGGAATAACCAAAACACCAAGAAATGCTTCCTCTCATGTCCATACACTATGCAGATGTTGTACAGTATATTCATAACTATGTTGTGAAATTTTACATAAAGGACAATCAGTTTAAAGAAATGAGTCATGTTAAAACTACGCATAAAAATTGATTTAACTGCAAAAATAATTAAAGACAGACTCAAACAATTCTGACAACAGAAAGCTACCGAATACTGAGACATCAACTCTATCTATTACTACAGCTATTTACCTGTCTTCATTCTCAGTTCTCTTATAGATTACGGGGTTGTGGGGCCAAGACTTACATGCTAAAACCATTTAAAACCTTCAGGCCTGTTGCACGTAAGTAAAATTTTGATGCTTTCCACTGATTTACGGAAACATTTAAAGATGGAAAATTTAACTGAGAGAAATTGGATTTCCGTGCTTCCTCTTATAATCAGTAGAGAGATGAACACCACAAGGAGGTAATTCAGAGCTGAGTCAGGCTCCTACATGCCTGTTCCTGAAGTCAATACCCTTCTCTCTCATTTTCAAATGTCACACAGGCTCCTAAGGCTGAATGCTTGTGAAAATCTTTACTTTGTTGAAGAGATGAAGTCAATTCCAAGACAGACAGCTAAACTAAGGCGGCAATAAACAGAAACACCACAATCAACAAATCTGTGATGTCAGTCTTTTAAAGTGAGGTGCAGGAAACAGGTTAAACATGAACAGGACAGAAATTAGTTGTAGATGTGACAATAATTTTCCTTCACACAGTACTCTTACCAGCCACTCAGCCCAGAAGGCTTCTGGAAAAATGAATTTAGATTGGCCTACTAGAACAGAATAAGGTGAATTAATGCCTTCTAGCTTGGTATTGAATGGGAAAAGTATAAAAACTGAGATCAGACTGATTTAACTTGTTGTTAGTTCCAACCCTTTCTTTCCACAAAAAGAGAGTAATAGCCATAGCCCGTTTTTAGTTTTTTGTATTATAACCTTAGTTCCTTTTTCTTCCTCAAAGTCCTACACAATCAGGACTGGAAAATTACCAAATAATTTTGAAAGGGAAAATCTGAATATGAGCAAAGTCCCTTCAAATGTTCAAGAAAACCTGGAAAAGTGTCCTTTCCAGTTCTTCTGCTTCTGGATATTACTGTGTAGATAGAACGAGTAAACACTTTCAAACTGAAATACAATTCGAGCTGCTGGCTACCCTTCTGTAGACAAGCAATAATAAATTATTAATACTTCAGTCTTAACTTCCTGTTCCATTCTGAAATAAAGACATTGTTTTGAATTTTCCCAATCAAGACATTTCTAAGCTAACAGTTCAGCATAGCTGGAGGATGGGAAAAATCTTCTCTTTTCTTCCAGAACACAACTGCTTTCAGAAGACTGCAAATAAAGAGGTTTCAAGTGTAAATTAGGAGCTTTTGTTTATTATATACTTGGTTTATATAAAAGATACATAAGGTGACAGGAAGGTTGCAGATAAGAAGGGGTCTGGAGGTTTTCTGTGTGTGGGTTTTGTTATTTTTAAATAGTAAACAACCAAGAGTGCCACATGGTGAGACTTGTGGGGAATAAAACCATAATGGCATCAAAATCGTATAAAAGGTTTTTATTTAAATTATATGGATCAGCTTATCAGAACACTGTTAGTTCATCTGGAAGGTTTTTGACTGCTGTCTCTAAGATCAGAATTAACATAATCCATTTTAAATCCATTCTAGAGTCCCTTACTAATTATATATATATGGAGCTCAGGACCTTGCCCTTATAACATCTGTTCTGATAAAACACTGAAGTCTTTTTAATTTGAGGGTCATCTGCAGGTCAGGATTTAAACTAAAAAGTTTTGCATATCATTTAATGGAATGATGTATTTGTACATTTTGCTTTAAAAACATTCCATAGATTTAACTCAATGCTGAAGATTTTGACAACAATATTATTAGTTCCCATCATACATATTCATGTCATAAGTTGAAGACTGAACATTTGAATACAAATGAGTTAAAGAAGTATTTTCAATGGGCTTTTTTTTAATATAAATATAGCAGTCCTCTGTCTGTTCTTCTGAGATAATCCTGTAAGAATATGTTCCCCAAAGCAAAATTTATAATGTAAGCTCTGAAACTGAAGACTCAAGTTTGAAACACCAATAGAGGTCATATGATAAGACTGTCCAGAACTGATCTATCTTGCCATCAGAACCAGAAAACTGTAAGATGGATCTTACTAACATCTCCAAACTATAAAAATGGAAACTTCTAAATCCAGCAAGAAGCAGGACTGGGGGGGGGGAACATGAACAAAAAAAACCAACAAAAACCCCAGAAGATTAATATTAGTGGTTTGCATCCTCTTCTTATGTAACTGAGCTGGCGTTTTACAAAATGTCCAAGTCACAGGCACAGAGTATAATGTGAAACATCAACACACAAAAAAATCCAAAATAGAAAGAAAATTACCATTACTTTAGTGTATATGAAGTATTAAGTTATGTTTTAAATAACAGAGAGAACTTTTAAGATTTTTATGAGTGAAGCGTCATCTGGGGGCAGTTAAGAGAAATACTGTAACTTACTAAAAAAGCCCCATCAAGTTAAACTAGAGCAGTTACACTGGACAGGAGCAAGATGAACTCAAAGGCTGTGCATTTTAGTGAGAATAACGCATCTGTACGCAAGCCTTCTGAGTAAAGAAATGTATAGTCATGTCCCACAACTTCCTGTTGAAAAAACAAGAGGAGAGACAATAACCTTCAAATCTTGAAGATGATGTATTAAAACTGCACTTGAAAAACCTTTCACCACAGGAACAACTATTTATTTATTTTGTTTTTAAATCTAGTTGCCTTAGCAATTTTAAATCTATTTTTTAAACTTCCCCACCACACCAGTTTTGTCAGCTGCCCCAAAGCAGCACAAACTGAGATCAAGACACTAACTCGGAATTTCTGTAAAGTGAGTCAAAAGCTCAATATTTCTGAAAATCAGATTAAAGAGTTGCTGTGGAAAAAACCCCAAGATCTGTGGAATATCTTTTTCATCCGTAATGATGTGGTAGGAATTTTTTTTTAAATAGAAATTATTGAATAAATAGGATTGTGAGAACAATGAGAAAGCAAGTAGCTGACAGCTCAGTACCAAATATGTGTTCTGATGGGGTTTTTTTGACAGATGCATGGTACCTCTGGGAAGTATTGATTTGCCGTTGGTAAAATCCAGTGCTTCATTTTGACATGGTTCCAAAACAATGCAGAAAACCAAAATCAAATCACCATTGGTTTTATCTGTTCCAGTACCTTTCCATACGAACAAGGGTAAAACCAAACGATATAAATTATGAAGTCCATCTATTTGCATCCTTTATCTCTTAAGGTTTATTTGAATGCTTGGAAGGTTTATGCAGAGAAAGGCTGCATGACTTGTCTCAGTGAGACCTGGTAACCTAAATAACTAATCAACTCTGTCTTTCCCACAGTTCAGAAGAAAGCTTGTAGTAAATCAGTAAATAAATCCAAGACATTCAGGGCAAAAATCTCATTCTGGAAGACCTTACTCTTTCTTTAGTCCTTCTCACAGTAGATTCAAGAAGAATCAGCAACAACCTTAGCAGACGGATTTATTTATTTTCACTGTATGGGAGGTTTGGGGGTTTTTTTTGTAATAGTTATTGTGGAAGACAACTTGCAAAAACACCAGTTAAAACAATTCCCAACTAGACCACAATCTCTTGAAGCAGCTGGGAACTTTCTCCAGAGACACATATCAAAATCCAAATGCACACGCCATGGTAACAGAGCTGTATAAAATGTCTGATGATCTTATCTCTGACTTTAATTTAAAGACCTAGAGGCAGTTCAGCCTAAATGCATAGTCCCCACTAGGTGTTTTGAAGAGCAGTGGAGAAACCACACCTCTCCCTTGTGCTTCCTCAGCTAAGACTTTAAACCCTCCATAACTCTCTCCAGCCAATTGTGTCTGTTTAGAGTAGATTCCGCAGTTACTTCCTCTCACAACTATAGCTCTTGTCAACTTGTGTTATGCATGGCTCAGGACACAAATAAATAGGATACGGAGCCTTTCACCTCTAGGTCATCAATTCAAATGTAGCCCATATTCGTAGGGACCAAAAGTTGCTACCAATAGATGGCTTTTCGGACTCCTCAGTAAACCTCCATTCTATCCATGTACACCAGCATGTATTCCAGACCCAGAATCCTGCATGATCTTAAAAGGCAGCTGTCATGCAGAAAAGGAAAGGGAATTTCAACCTTTATCCTCAAACAACTGTCTCCCCAAAATATAGAATATCCACACTTTCTTCTTCCCTTCCTTTCAACATCACAAATTCTAGTTTTATTCACAGTGCAAGACTAAGACAATGGAATAATGAAAATGTATTCTAAAAGGCTGCAAGCAGAGCAAGTCAAAAGAAAATAAGGTTTTTTTTAAAAAAAAAAAAGACCAATGAAAGTTTTCCTGCATTAACAAATCTCAGTTTGTGTTTATGAGAAAACTTATCTTTCCCTAAACAAAACAACCAGGAATGTTTATTTAAGACAGAGATTGTGCATGCTCCTCTCTCTTGACTCTTCCAGGAAAGCTTCACAGCAAAACTTAGGAGAGTCGGTTTTGAAATTCCTTGCACCTGCACTCATCAGCTGTCAGGTCCTTGCACTGATGCTATGGATGTTCTTGCTATTGATGAGTCTCTTAGTGACAAAGGCCAGAACACACTCACTCTTTGGATTTGTTGCCTGCTAAGCCACAAGGAAATTACCATCTGAATTAACTGCAAGTTCCAAGTGACAGCCACCTCTAGGTTGTATTATAGGGAACTGTAAGTTACAGGCAAAGTAGTAACTGTAGCATAGCTAATGAAAGAGATATCTGAGCTGGAGCAGTAGCCTGCAGCAGAGCCTAAACCTTCTGCACTCCATGTGATTTCAAGGTATGGTACATCAAAGCTATGGCATCTCCCCTCTCCCTTAGATCTTTTTCTGGTATGACAATGACATGTCCAAACCCCTCAATTCAGTATATCGTCCTTCAACTTCTAAGACTTCCTGTCTGGCAACTCCTTCCACAGGAAAATAATCAGATGTGAATCTCTTAAATAAGAGAAAATTATTTTTAGATTTAAAAAGTACCTCAGAAAGCACACCAGCTATCAGACTCTACAAAACTACTAGCGAACACGGAGTCAAAGTGCTAAAAGCCATCTGCAACTTTATCTCACCTAAGTGATCTCTCCATGATGACATTCGGAACTATAACTTCCCTTGCAGTTCTAAAACCAGAATGTTGCCTGTCTTGCCTGACAGAGCAAGGGAATGTCAGAACGCAGGCCTTGATCCTAATGTTTCTGTATTTTCAACACGCAAAACATAGCATACTCTACGGACCACCTTGCAGAAGCAAGTGGCAAGCAGGGCGCTTCAGACAGCACACCCTGCAGTTTGTTCTCTGATCAGAGTAGCAAGGGCACTGGACTGTTCACGTCTTTCTGCTGAGCTGCTCCAAGAACACTGCAACAACACACTGCCAGCTATTCTAAGCAGACGTCCTGTTCAGAGGAAACAGTGTACAGCAGTCAAGCTGATTAAATCTACGACACTGCTTCACATCTAGCAAGTTTTGACTGTAATAAGAGACACCATAGTGCCATAGCTATTAAGCCATTCTTAAAGTTCTTCTATTTCTGCAGAAGACCTCCCAGACTGCATGCATGCACAGGTATCAAGTAGCACATGCACCACTGTCGAAGATGCATCAGATTTGTTGTGATGCTCCTCGATCTGATGTGTACAGTAGATCTGATGCATTTTGGACATGTCTGCACACGGACTTTTGAGCTGATGTACTCATATACAGTGGCTGTTGTTGAGGATTTTCAGATGTCCAGCGGTATGACAAGAGGTGTTGGTTAGCCAGACAAACAGTCCAAAAGAAAATATAGATTACACAGTAGCCCTGTAGACACCTGACTACGCCTAGCTAACTCCAAATGGAAAGAGTCAGGTCCAGATAGACTTGTTTAGCAGGCGCTCACTGCAGTGGTGCCAGGCACACAAAGAGGCAACGACAATGATTATGAATCCAGCAAGGGAAGACACAGAGCAATCGGCGTGACTGAGGCTGTATAAAAATCAGGCAGCGATGAAGGTGGAAATGACGCTGTAGAAATCAGGCAGAAGAAAACAGCAGCAGTAGTATTCCTGGGGTCAGTGTGCATGCGGTGCAAGGCAGCAGCATGAGCCCCAGTGGGACACAACAGCAGCTACAGGGGGTCAGGAGCAGCCAAGCTGCCATGGAGAGAGAACTGGAGATACTGGGGTTACAGCAGCAGCTCTCTGAAAAGATGGACAGTGAAGACAACACAGGAAGGAGCAACTGGTCCAGTACCAGTTAAAACCATTACTCTAGAAATCTATTTTTAATTATGGTTTTAATTTTCCTTTAACAAGTCAGTTTGTCACAGAGGGAAAACAAACCCAAATCACAACACATTCTCTGCACTTCATTCTCATGGTCCCATGCACACAAAAAATATGGATGGAGATACTTTATAAATAAGCATGACATGCAGTGAAACTACGGTTAAGTAAACATTATTTTTCATGGCATTCACTAAGCTTCTAGAAGACTTAAACATTTGTTCACTTGCAGTGACACTCTTGAAACACAGACAGGGTATTATGAAACAAAGACGACATGCACCAAGCTATAGGACTTTGAATACTTACTTGTCTACATTAGTGTTTGCTATTATATCAGTTTATTCAACGTTTTATTTTACAAATGTTTTATTTTACTCATTGAAATAAGTTCACTCACCTTTTTACATTCATCTGTTCTTTTAGTTTGCTGTACATTTCCAGCACTGCATAAAAACAAGCAGATTAACCCATGGATCTTATTGTGGCTTTAGTTAGTAAAAGAGGAAAATATATATTGTAAAGGACAAAATAAACCATAGAAAATTATATGCTAAATTTACCTTGTTTAATTCCTCCTGTAACCTAAACATAACAAAACCAGCAAAAAAAAAAAAATTCTAGAATGCAGCTAAGAAAGAAAAAAGAACTAAACTCCTAACAGCTTTTAAATGAAAAAGAGTTAAGATTAAACAAAACAGCAGACACTAGATACATAAAACATTCATTCATTTGCTACGTACCATAAGTTTATCTGCATTACCAGCCTATGACCTGTCTCTATTAAATGGCAACAGTACCACCTACTGTACTCGTAGGAAGTCAACAACAAGACTTTACAAAGAAAAATTCTCAAATCTGTTTTACACCAGTATCATGAACAGGATAAAATCCTTAGAGAGCCGTGTGCAGTGCTACAATACTGCCTTTCCGAAACACCATTTAGAGCCCTTATGTTTTATAAAAAAAAGCTTGTAATGACACAGTGCTAAAAGTACAACGCTGAAATAGAATCACTAGTATTTTCCATAGAATTCAAACAGTAAAAACCACCCTCTTCAGCAACAAATTCATTGGTCATCATATTTAAAATATTACTTCATTTAAAGCTGCATGCATCTACACTGTTTGCATAATTTATACCTGTCTCACTGTCTTCTCACAAAGTGACATAATTGCTCTATGTTAAATATTGTAAAAGACGTGGAACCTACATGCTGACATCTTTTTAACACCTGTTAATTCTTTCGTTAAACTGGATGTCACAGGATTACGACTTAAAAAACAGAATTCTCTTGCATTTTGGCTATTATGACTTACTTTATTTAATATGCCATCATATTTAGCTCAAGGTCACTCACCTGGAAGACACAACTGTAGTTTTTCCACAACTGTTGTAATATTCCGTTGCTGAACTCTGCACCGGATGATTTCTTCTGTTTGGGCTATCACCTTAGAGATTTTAATTTAAAAAAAAATACAAATAAATAAAATCACAATTAAATTATGCAAATAATTTCAATTTGCTACAAATATTCATAATATCCACACAGGAAGCACCATTTTCTCACCTCTTTCCCAGCATCCTGAAGCCTTCGGTTGGTATCAGTAACTTGGACCTTAAAAATAATTTCACCTTTGTTAGACAAATATGCATATATTGCCCTGATGTGACTGCTCACCCTTGTAATCAGATCATGCTTCATGAGAAACTTAGAACAAAGAAATGCAAATTCAAATTAACTCTACAGCTTGAACTTGAACTTTTGATCGGAAAGGGCTTTTGTTAACTTCAATTACTTATGACAGTTCTTTCTAACAGATTCTGTGGCAAACTTCTCAAATTTACTTGGGATTTTTGAACTTTCCTTGTTTCTGTAGGTCTGTCAAACAATTCAAATCATTGACCCAATTGACCACTGGTCCCTTTTTGATAACCTCAATGAGCTCTATGGGCCATTCATTGTCTGTAAGAAATGGTGATTGCATTTTATGGTAATTAAACATTCATACTTTACTGAATGCAAACACTGGGTGGTTGATTAACATCAAACGTGGAAATCTCCAAACCACAGCAACATTTTAATGCTGCAGGTGCAGGCAAAGCTCAACCTCAGATTTTCCCACATAGTAAGTGACTCATTAGGTCATCATAATAAGGAAGCACATTCTAGTTTATTAAAAATCTCATTAATTTCTGAACAAAGATGCTCAATGACCTCATTGACGCTGTATTTGGTCTCTTGTTATCTGAATATCCTTTATATAATGCTCTTCTAATCATAACCTCTGATGAACTACGCTCATTCTGTCTGGTGTGCATATTTTGCTCTCAAAAGTGTAAAGAGAGCTAAAAGGGACGGATCTCATAATTCTACGTTCAGATTTGGGAGTAAATCTTAGTTCTCATTTCTAATGAAAACTATTAAGTCCACCTACTCTCCTACTGATTACAGAGTAAAGAAAATTTATTTTTCACGCACAATTGCAGTATTGTTATTCTTCTAATCAAGACTCTAAATTCTTCTAAGGTCTGACATGCAAATGCAGGATTAGAAAAAGACCTATGTAAGAAACATTGGTTTTACCATTTGTTGCTCTTTACCTTCTGAGAAAGCCTTTAAAAAGGGCAAAATAATTTTGGTAATGTTTTCTGAAAATATACATTTAAAAAAAAAAAATCAGAATTAGACCTAATAAAATAATCAGCTTTGTAAATGTAAATGTAAATTACCAGATCAGGCAACACAGCTCTAACCACAAATCCGAAATAACCCATTTTTAAAAAACTGTTGCAAACATCAGTGTATGTTATAATCACTCAACTCTTATTCTTCAGTAAGGGTCAGGTTCCTTCTTTTAAATTCAAAGACAATGATATATGGAACTACGAAAAACTAGTTCCTTACCTTTAATTTTTCTGCATCAGCCCTAACTTTAAGGAGTTCTGTAATAGCATCCACAAAGCCCTGATGGTGAAAATTGCACATCTTTTCTATCTCCCTGTCATGGTTACGTATGCAGGCATCTAGTTTTTCCATAAACCTCTGGTGTGCATTTGGTTGGTCATCATATACAGACCTGTTAAATACAAATAAGAAAAACAAAAGTTTACTTTTTTCCTCCAGTGAAAAACAGTATGCAAGGATCTTTATTGAAATCTCTCTCCTAAAAAGAAAACAAAAGCACACAAACTTGATGCTACGGTGGCATCATTTGTGATCCATTCCACCAAAATCAGCATTAAAAGAAAGCGATGGCACAAAACTGAGAACTGAACCCAGCCCTTATGGCATTAATCCAGGTGCTTAACCAGTTACAACATGGTTGACCTGAGCCTCACTGGTCTGTTATTTATGCCCTAATGCTCAAATACGGGTACAAAAGAATCAATTTCTCCGACCACCTCAAATAGCATGGATCGCTTTTCCATCAAATTCCACTCTTTGCTAAATATAAAGAAGTGCAAACATACAAATTTGCTTTTCTGGTATTCTTAACATCAGAATTATCCAACCACATCAGGGGTGGATGCTTCCAGCCAGAACAACTGCAGCACTGTGCGGCAGCAGCCGGACCCTGGCGGAAGGCAATTCTCACTGCTCCCTGCCGCCTCCTGCCCATGCCCAATGGCTCCCAAAGCAAAACCATGGCATGTACATGCCTAAGGCTGCCACCTCAATGGGAACCAACTTTCAGGAACGGTTAAAATCAGGTCTTTTGAGTAATTTTACTAAATGTTTCAACAGTACACTTATAAAACATCAAGTAGGAAACATGACTCCTGGAGAAACTGCTGGTGTAGCTTGCCAAGTTGCGTCAGGAATGGCAAGCTGCGTGGAAAAATGCTCAAGTATGAGAAGGAGCAAAGGAGACGGGGTAATTTAAAGCTTTAGATTTTAGCAGAGGAAGCAAGAAAAGAGGTAATAGAGAGAACTGTACTGGAGATGAAGGTATGAAGTCTCCCAAGACTGGCAAGGCACAGGCAGTTCCAAAATTTGATTAATAACTCAATATAGCACCAACAGCAAAGACAGGTAATTTTTGAAGCAACTTACTAGCTAGAATGCGAGCAGTAATATGAGGATGACAGTCATACATATGCAACCATGTTCGTACTGCAAACTACAAGCATTCAAAAAAATGAGATCAAAAAAATCTTTAAAATGCTTTTTTTAGCCTCTAATTTCCTTTCATAATTACGACATTTTCTCCAGAAATACATACAGAGAAGTTGCTTTTAAAAAAAACCAAAACACACTTAAGATGGCAGGGAGGAGGAAGCTGAAGTTCCAATGGTCTCAATGTTGCTTGTAGAAGTACAGTCTTAAGTTCAAGACCCAGCTGACAGTGAGTCAAAGCCTCTAAAACTCATGAGTAGAGAGAAAGTACTTCCCTCCCAGTCTTGTCGGAGAAGTATGACTTCCCATATTCTTCAAGATCCTCTTTTCTAACCAGACAGCTTGGCTCTGCCAGGATCTGGGGGCATCATCACCCGTTCAACAAACCCATAACTGAGTGTCTGACAAGAACCTGACCTTTCAAGGAAGAGAAGAGTATAGCAGAGATTGAAAAGACTCTCAGAACTAGACTCTTCATCCTTTTTGAGTTCCTTTTGACCATGGACTCAGAGAAGCAACTGATGTTACAGAAATGAGAAAGGTAATACGCTGTCCTACATGCCAAAGGAAGAAAGCCAATTCCTGATAGCCTGCTTGCTATAGGTATTTTGTCTCAGAAAAATCTATTAAATAAAATATTCCTAGAATATTCCCCTTTTGCTTATGCAGGAAAATAAGGATACAGTACTGAAAGGCAGGTTCTTTCCTCCAAAGTGCACCAAGGGAAAAATACAAGATTGTTGACCCATGAAGCGGTTCACAAAGGGAAAAATGCCCCTCACCCATTCCACCACTGCAGTTTGAAATGACAGCTGGAAGGAGCAAAGGTGTGACAGTCAGCCTCTCCTCCTGAGGTTCCTGTCAGACTGCCTGAAATGGACCCCTCAAGGCTGCCCAGCATGACTGAGGTTTAAAGGGCCGTGGTAGAAGATCACGAGTGACCCACATCTCCACACAGAACCTGGTGCTGACTGGAGGGAGAAGCAGCAACCTGGCCTGGGAGGAAAGAAAGGTGCAAGACACATGGTCAGCACTGAGTGAGCTTTCATCAGGCAACTTAATGTTCTGCATCTGAAGACACAGGGGGAAGCAGGTAGACCATATCAGTTACCTGTAAAGAAATGAGCACGGGATGAGAAAAAGGTTCAATAACTGATGTTGTAGTGCTCCAAACTACATAGTACAAGGTGGTTACATGAGCACTGCTCTGTCTCTGTAAGAAAAGGGTCAGAAATGTTGGAACCTAGAGGGTGAACATGTAGGAACAACTACCTGGCTCCAGAGTACTGTTCCTGGAAAAGAAATAAAAATATTAGGAGGACCAGAGGCATCACATAATGTATTCACAGGTATCAGAAATGCATGAGCTTCCTCTGAATGGGCTGGACTCACCATCTATACTGCACCAGATGCTAAAGCAAAAACCAGAAAAAAGTTCCACTTATTAACTGCTTCCTTGAGCCTTTTATCTAAGGGTGGAAGGAATCTCCAAGTTTAGGTCTCCTTCCAATGTTCTCAAAAGGAAGTGAGAAAGGAGTATTATTATCACAAAGATAGGAGACTTCCACCTATCGCTGTGTACTCATAACTGTAAGTTCTGTGACATAACCATAAGTGAAAACAGTAGTAAAACACAGAAGACCAAGTATACCAAAAATGAGAACAAGACTGTAAAAAGATGGTGCAAGAGGAACTCCATACTTCAGTTTGTACCACCAGTCTTTCTTTCGTGGTAGCAATGCACTGTCTTTCTGGACTTAGTTATTGCCTGATTATTTTGGGATATCCAGTAGCTGCAGTTCAACGTGGCTGTCTTTGTACCTTTTTGTTGATTTCAGATCTGCCAACACTGGCAGCCACACTCTTAAAATACTGAGGGAGGGAAATAATTTGCAATCAGGAGATCTCTCTTTAAAATGTTATCAAATAATTCCACACAACACAGCCAGAAATTCTGGAAGAATGAATGATGTAGCATAGGCAGTACAGTATTCACTGTTAAAAAATCAGTATTTATTATTTTCCTCACTATTAAAGCTACTTATACTTCAGTTTAATGATAATAAGTAAAGTACTGATTGATAATTCTCAGGGGTATTATCACAATATTTAATTCAAAATCATACAGGGAATAAATGTTTAAAATTGTGGAAGAAGAAATCGATACTGTGTACATCCCGATGCACTGCCTTAACCACAAGATTACCTTACCTTACTGAAATTTTAGTTACTATTTTATCTTCTACACTGTACTGTTTCCTGCATGGATACTAATACAATGGTGAGCTGTGATCTAAACCAGTGCTTTGACAGAGCGCCTTAAAATTCACTAGTAGTATAAATTCCATATTAATTACATATGTAGACAGCTCCATCTTGTGGGAACAATAACAAATCAGCCCTCTTCAGCACACCAGTGGAAAAACTCCTGAAACAGAACTACTTACCTTTAAAGAAATAAATCATCACAGTATTTAAAATAAAATCACACTTTTTACCACAACTTTCTGATCTAGGTGAGAAATAAGAAGACAAATTAAACAAGTTTATTAACTTCCCTAAGACGCTGTACTCTTAGGCTGCTATACACATGCTATTTCAGAGGCTTTAGAGAAGTCTGACCTAAAGCACTGGCCTTTTTGAAAGCATAAGTGTATGTGAGAAAGCCATGGACAGAAATTGGGCTTTTTCTCAAAACTGCAAGCACAGCTGAGGCGATGAATGCCTGATTTACCCACTACAGAACATCACATGTAGTACAGTATGGTTTATTTCTGATACTGAAGCTTATTTTCTACACATTCCTTTCCAAAATTACCTACAGTTATCTACATAAAGTAACTGGTATCTTCAAATATTCATTTGAAGGTGTACACTTCAACAGATTATGGCACTGCAAGCAATCCTGATAGCAATTTTGCACTTTACAGAGTTAAACCATCAGGCAGACAAATCACCATCCTACGGCATCTTGGAGAAAGACACAGAATCCTGAAAGCATCCTATAGCTGATTTTTTTAAATTAGAAGATAAAACTGACAGAATTTACAGCGCTTGCATGCACACACACACAGAGTTCTGCTGGGAAGAGAGTGAGGAAGTGCTAACCCTTCCAGATGCATATTTTCAGGGGAAAAAAAAAAAAGAAAAAGATAAAAGACGAGAAAATCACTGATGTTGGAGACAGAAGTTTGTACTTTATTTTGTCTCAAAAAAAAAAAATACACAACATACCATCTTAATTTTCAATCTGGAATGAGACAACATTAACTTCAGTGACTAGTTAGACATCAGCACTGCGAGTCAGTGACAGGACAGGTACTATTTCATTCCTAATCGAACGGGGCAAGCACCCATGAAGAACACGAGCAGAGATGAAGGATGTTTCTGGTAACATGTAGCAGGTTATTTGTCTGTATTTCCCACAACTCTGTACATAGACATAGATATTTTTTTGTCTGACTCATCCCAACAACTGGACAATATGAGTCATACTAATGCGAGTCTATGTCAATATAAGATAGTGCAGAAAGTACTCAAAAGAGGAAAAAAATTAACTAGGAATAGTCAGAGACAGCTTAACCTAAAGGAGAAAGATGTCTCAGTCACTGGCTCAATTTTGCTGCAATAGGGGTATTTTTACCTTGATATTTTCTTACCAGCTGGGCTGAAGGGAGAAAGACAAGCATAAAGAGATTTGAATTCAGGTCTCAACAAAAAAATGAAGCAGAATTTTCCTATATGCAATCATTTTCCAATTGAAGAAAATCAAACAAGGTTATTTTATACTTCATAAAAAACCTCTCTAAAATTTTTATTTTCAAAACTGAAACACAGTATGAAAAATATGTGTTTAGTAGGTCTTACTAGCATTTTTGTGTTTACATGCAAAAATCTATTGAAGCACCAGAGGGCACCATTCTACGCACAAAAATACTAGCCACTGAGTAAATAAAGAGC